TTTCATGACAGTTCAATTATTTTGACGTTTACCAAAAACGATAAATAACTATTGCTGCGCCATTAAATGATTAATGAAAAAAACCTGAGAAGTCGCTCTCTGCTGTATTGAAGGTATCCAAAACCAATGTACCTCGGCAATGAGTAGGTCACATTAACAATGGATGTGTTGAGTTTAAATTTATAGATTACATATGAAAACAATTTTACAGAGTGTAGATTATATTATTTTTAATGATATTTTTATATTGGTATAATGTATAAATAACTCTTAAGTTACCTATTATTCAAACTATTTTTGCAAACAAAAAAACATTTTATCATACATAAATTGAACAAAAAACTAAAAAAGACGAACATTTCAAATGTATATAAATATCACAAAAGAAGCTGAAATATTATGAAAATATTATCATCTCTAGAAAATTGAATAATAAATATTTGGTGAAGAATATTCAAATACATAATTATTCATTTGTGAATTACAAAATGAACCAATTACTTATTAGTGTCTTAGGTAAAATTAATTGTGAAAGTATTAATTTTTTTTTACATTATAATATTATATAGTGGTACACACTACACAGGTAGTGGCTTTTGCTATTTTGTTACCTAGTGAATAAACTAAATTAGATTCCTAATTATCTAAGCTTTAAGATCTTCCCAATAATTTTGTATTAGAATAAATGTATCAATAATTTGTGATATATATCGTTATTAGTTATTACTACCAGGCGTGGATCTAGAACTCTGATTAACCCCCCCCCCCCCCCACAAGAAATATCCTTCAGAATAATACAATTATAAATAAATACTTAATATACAACATTCCTAGATCAGAGTCTGGTTATTACTTATTTGTTTCTATGCATTGTTTTTTTTCGAATAATGATAATAATATGTCAAATATTATAATATATAAATATTAATACCTATAATATTATGATATTTTAATTTGTTATAATGATTTAGTTTTACATACCTGATAAATGTATAACTTTATAATTAAATATTTATGTAAATACTCAAAGTATAGGTAGATTTTATTGTACAGACATTACCTATAAATATTAAATTACTAAATAAGAATGATGTATAGTTTTTTTTTTAATCTCATGAAAGATTAGGTATTGGTTTTTGTTGTTTTAAATATGATTTACTAAACCATAGGTACGACATAAAGTGCTTGATTAATAGTTTGCATTCTCTTTATTTTAAAGACCTCCTGTAGTCTAAAAACACTTCAGCTATAATAATTTTGATCGGTTAACTCAATCACTCGTCGCTTAACATTCGCCTACACTAAATCATTGATCACTTACAATCAAATATGTATAGCAATAAGAATATTGATTAAATATCACTCAATCGAAATCCTTCCTTTTATTATATTATTTTAGTATACTGTTATAACTTAATTTTTATGGAGAACCTACGATACATTCAACTTTTACTATTTAAGACACATGTCAAGTAGGTATTCATATCCCGCATATAATAAAAATAATAAAATAAAGCGAGAGGTACACTGAAGGCGTGTACTTAAAGTAGGTACCTACCTCATTTTGGCACTTATAGTGGCGTATAGATTACTTATTTTTACGGTCAGCCCATTTCACCATGGACTAAGTATATGATTTTAATTTTGAGTTTGAATATCAGATTTATTTATTCATACCTACTTAAATGTTTAATTTTTACATACAGAATCCACTTGGATGCTTTAATTTATTATTTTATATAGGCGCGTGTGACGTGTATTTCGTCGTACCAAATACCAATAGGTAAAATACTATAACTGTATATATTTTAAAGTGATGATTCACTGTATTAAAAATTGACTTATAGCACAACTATCATCACACTTGCTGATTAATAAATCATATTAGGTGTTAACAATTTTCTAAACTAAATACTATAATATAATATTATCTAGAAATCATTTTTAAATGTGGTATGTAATCATATAAATCATTTTAACTGTATAGTAAAAAATAAATTAATATATTATTAATAAATTATATCATAGTAGAAGACTTAATATTACTATATTACTTAAAAATATATAATATTATTTTAAATGTTATTGTAGAGTCCGAGTGAATATGTCGTGCTATAGACCCCGTCCGGCACATACAAGTTAGTTCTCCGGTACTAAGAAAGGAATATCTGTAAAATCTAGACACTCCGTAATCCCCTGAAAGGCTATAAGAACATGACATGACATTGTCATACACTGATACTAAAAGACCAACAGTCTCGAGACGTCTTTGTGGACGTTAATAAGTTATCCTTCTTCGCCCACAGTTCTTAACAGACCATCGCATACCCGATAATTTGAAATGTAGTAGGTCATCATATAAATTATTACACGATAGGCACACCTACATAGTATATAAATATAATACATTATTGTTGTATTTGCATGCGTTTTTAATTAATATTTAGTTTTAGGTCTTTACATTGTACCTACGGCTCACCACAATGGGTTTTATACAGTGCACGCACTTGTAGTTCAAACAATAAGGTAGTATTAACTATTAAGTGTAAGTTTATGGTATTTTTATTATTATTTTCGTAATCGGAATGGATTTGGAACGCAGCAGCGTATAACCAATACGTTTTACTGCTTTAGGTAGGCACCTAACGGTCAGAACGATTACAAGGAAAAGAATATTATAAATGTGGTCAAATCATTACCCGGTGACGGGACGGGCCTCGACGGTCTTTATTTGCTTGTGATTTTGTCGTCATGTGCGTGAGGGCTATATAAAAAAAAATACGTATCTAGAATACGATCTGTCGATCTCATATTCTGCCGAATCATATAAACACCAGGCGAGTGTGATATGTTTATTTGCGGATTTGCGTGTTCATCGTCGTAGTGTCACACATGACACCTGTCAAGTTACAGGGATGTGCTCACGGAGGGGGGATTGACGATAAGGGTGTCTTACCCTCCCCACCCTTTGGATTTTTTTTTTGATTTCTCATCATTGTTAAAATGTAAATTCATGTTTTCAACATTCTTTTAGGTATAATTATTAATTTTTCAAATTAAGTTGATTGATAACAATAATTGATGTGATAAATTAGTAATAACTAATAAAGAATATTTACCGCCATCTTGGGATTATTTACAATAAGATTTTTTACTAATAAGTAATAACATAAATATATACTTATATAGTTATAAACATACAGTATACAGTTATGCAATCTCTTCTTACACACAATTAATGTTATGTTATTATTAATTATTAGTTTTCCCAACAGTTAGGTAGTTAATTACAAGCACTTGGAGAGTGCAGGTAAATGCATTTATACTATTTTTGTTATACGTGGTCTGAGGAAGTCAAAAGACGCTTATCACTCCCCCCCTTCTTCAAAAAAGTCGAACACGCCGCTGTGGGCCTGTGTGAGTAATAAAGGTTTGTGAAAATATAAATCGTACACCATGGGGACCGAATTTGGTAAAGGGACCATGATGACGGGCGAACCAACTACTGCAGTACATGACATCCGGCGCAGCACCGATGGATGGAATTAGTGTTTTTTGGGGGGAGCGTGGAGGCCAGCTCTTAGACAACGATTTACAAAAAACCCAATATCTAACATTAGTCCGTATTCATTTACAAACTTAAAATGCCTGGCTCATGGTTGCATAAACGATTAATACTAACATTTAATGAATCAATAGTGAGCTATAATGGTCCCTTAAATATGATTTAGTGGTGATGATTAACTGAACATTAAATTAATCAATTTGTTATGCGCCGGGGCATGTGCCAGTTTTTAGTTTTAGCAAAAATATCTACAATATCACATATTTATTGTGATTATAAATATCAATGTCTCTACGTGCATTTCTCACAGCCTATCTCATCAATCATTCTTGGATAATTCATAACTCATAAGACATGTTATTACTTTCCTTAGAGTTGAAAAACTTCTTTCTGTAGAAGCGACGCTTACTAATAAAGTTGCCAATACATAGAGTCATACCTATTGAATTCAGAATTTAATAGAATTGAGAAATAGATAGTTTTGGTCGTGGCCCCCTCATCTCTATCCACCGGAGCTGCGCTGCGGCTGCTCATCGCCCACCCTGATGGCCGGAAAAACCGACTGGTAGAAGAAATCCTACATTCCTACAGCGCCGAGTCGTGCTGCTCAATGTTCGGGTCAGGCGGTCGGTCGCGTCGCGCAAAGTCCAAATATGGCGTTTGTCTTGCCCTGCGAAATAATACACAAACCGAACCGACGGACTGACGGACGGGCGCGCGTAGCGGTGGCGGCGGCGGTATTCTCGTCTCGTTTTGTTTTTACTGTTTCTCTTTCCGACGCGTCGCGCATGCGCCAACGCCGCAACGTCGTCGGCCGACCTACGGGCCTCGGCTGAGGTTAGTTTAAAAGAGCACTCGTCATCGTGTGCGCAGTCCAATACGCGTCCGCAGTCCGAGAGAAAAAAGTACATCCATCGGTCGTATTCCGTTTTTCGCTATTTTTCCCCTCTTACCGTACACCTGTAGATACAGAATTCAAACGCCGACCGATCAGCACCGTCAATTTAATTTATTGTTCACATATTTTAACACGCATGTGTATAATAATATAAATCTTATAGTAATAATATAATATAAAATCGACGAGTGCGACGCGCGTTTACAGATAACACGGTTTGTCCGTCTATATAGTCCGTATCAAAACACAGAACACCACACACACACATACACACACACACACACACACACGTAACATAAATCATCGTGTCAATAACGCATTGCGGTGTAGTATCATTTGTCGTCGCCAACATCGTCGTCACCGTTCAAGTAAAACTCGAAAAATGTTAACAAGTCTCGTTTGATATCTACAGTCTACACGAAGGGACCTGACCACTCTTCCGCCGCCGATCTAATCGTCCGGAGAGAATCCGTAACCTGCCCGCCGACCACCACAGCCGGTGTTCTCCACACGTCGTCGTCAAACAACAAAGTTTCCATGAAAATGACGGAAATGAACGCGGTCAACACGCAGAGCATTGCCGACTATTTGGCGCAATTGCTCAAAGACCGCAAACAAATCACCGCGTTTCCAAATATGTTCATGCACGTCGAACGGCTTATCGACGAAGGTAATTACTAATATCACTATGATTTTTAAGCTTATTATTGCGGTACTCTTACGCCACCACCGATCGTTGATTAGTTGGTCATTCGGTACCATAGTATCGTTTCCTAATCGACTGAATTCGCGTTTAAAACAAATAATAATGTAATTTCCTAGTCCGCCCATTGACATTTGGCGCCGCTCGATTAATTATTAATATATTTGTATTATTTTTGTATTATTATCATCATCAACATATTATTTTATGATCAACATCACCATCATCCGTTCTCGCCGCCGCCTCGTGATAAGAAGTGATCTCAGCTGATTTTTAGTGTCAGCGGCGGCCAGCGCGCGTTTTTAGTTCTCATTTTTGTAGGTCGCGCGTTTTTCGTCGCTACCGTCGCCGCCCGATAAACATATCGTGTCGGCTCGGGCACGCTAGCCGGCGGGGGTAGCGGCGAGCATCTCGTTTTTCCCGTTTTGCTCTCCGCGTAAGCCCACTCCACACACACACACCCACCCGAGTCTATTTTCGTCGTCCACGATTCCCGGTGCCCCGGCCATCCGTCCTGTCCACGCCGATGAATAAATAAATATAATCGTAAAACACCGCGTCCCGGGGATCACTCGCTACCCTGGACGAAGTACCTTCTTTCTTTACACGCTCAACTAATATTGTGAAGAAAAAAAGGTTCGGTCTCGTGTGTTGAGATTTTTATGTGTGCGGGTGCGTATGTGTGTGTGTTTACGATCTAGCTTAAGTGAAGGCCGCACGCGCGCTCAAAGACGTTGCCATTTAGGAGCCGCCGCCGGTCCGTGTGCGTGTGTGTGGTTGTATGTGCGCGCACGGATTCGGTTTCACGACCGGAATGCGGCGGCGGCGGCGTCGACCAGCCGTGGTGGTGGTACCACACCGCTGGCCCACGTGCTCTACAGGTGCCGCCGCCGAGCGCTGCGCGATCTGTGCACCTGTGCGCAGGGATCGTGACGATGGCCCGGACGGGGACAGGGCCTCGCCCCGGTTTGGGTCAACCGTACAGTTGCCTGTGCTCGGTGCTAGCCTGTAACTCGTGAATCGCTGACGTCCTGCCTGGGCTGTCCCCGAAAGGGTTTTCCACACACATGGGAGCGCGCGTTGTGCAACAAGTGGGCATCAAAACTGCACCCCGCTTCACCTCGAACGCTCCGACTGACGCCTTAAAATGGGAACGCGTACAATAAAACCGCACAACGTTGTTTTACATATTATTATTATTATTGTTTTCCGCCGTGCCTCGAGTGTAAAAGAACATAGTCAACACAAATACGAGGCAGCGGTGGTGCCATAAATTATAATATTATACTACGTTAAAAATGTATATTCGCATCGTTATTATTAATTATTATTGTTATTTTTTCCGTTCGTTATTATTATAGTCTTATCCCGAAGCAGTTGGGGGTGTGGTATTTCCTTTGTCACGTGTGTGATAAGATCGGTGGCTGCCGTGGGAAAAATAATGATAATGACATACCATTTATGGATGAAACACTTTTTTGTAATTTTTACGGTATAAACCAAATACTATAAAGTTTTAGTATTCTGTCAGTATGGGTTAGAAAACTATTAAGTCATTTGAACTGTTGGTTTTAAAATACTTTTAGTGCCACTGTGATTGAGAAACGTCAAAATAAACTAAAATTGTATACGGCTGCCTCATGGCGTCTATGTTTTACTAGAATACTCGAATACCTGATATACAAATAAATAACATGTGCCCCGGATTTATCCAAAAAATATTTCAAAATCATAAGATAAAAAAAAAAAATCATTACCGTTCTTGACCTCAGGTCCTCCACTTGGTTTTACAAGAATGTCTTGGATACCGAATATAATAGTTTTTGTCCAAGAGATATCGTAAATGGGGCTTACGAACAGTCACGGTATTGAAATGTGTTCTTTTGCTCGTGGTAAATATTATAATATATTTATATATAGCGTTTGCTCACTATCGAAAACGTCCACGAACGTCCAAGAGAGTACAACGCGTGTATTCGTATTATGACCAACGCATGACTCAAAACGGTCGACAGTGCTCACGCGTCGTGTGCTTTGTATACGACTGGTGACTGGCGATATGCTAAAAATGTGTGATTAATTCTTATCACAAACGTAAATGAAATGTTATTTCATTTTTATTTATATTATTACACTTGTTTTTTTTCTATTTTCTTCGTAAATATCTTCGTTTAAAAACACACTTAACATCGAAATTGCCTATTGAGCAATTTAAACAAATTAAAATAATCGAATTTATATTATATGATTACTATAATTCAGTATTATACTATTATACTATTTTATATTTCCTATATTTTTATACACAGTCATTCGACCGTCATCCCATCTTGTTAAATCGCAATAAATACCTCAAGTAGTTTTTTACTCGATAATATTATCATCGTTTCTCGAAGAACAATGTTTTATTATGTTAGAAAAAAAATCATACACGTTCCAAGGGGATTCGTTGACTGTTTAGTGTTTATAAATACAGAATGTGTTGACAAATTCAAAATGACGTCATGTTTCATTAAATTAATTAATTTAGTATCGTACATTATTAAGCTTCTTTTAAAAATGTATCCATAAATCTAAAAAACTGATGTGCAATATTGTTATGGTATTGGATTAGTTATTTATACTTCTTTTAATAACTAATAAGTAATATACTAAAAAAAAATTATGCCGAGTTACAATTTGTAAATATTACACATTTTCGTTACAATAAGTTACAACAATACCTACATGGCTACCTATATTATTTTTGTCTTTCATTGACATATTTCTTGTTTTAAATGTATTTTCATTATCATTTTTCACATATAATTATATTTTGGGTTTTACTTTTTTATCGTTAAGATATATAATTTTATACAATATTATCCGTACCTTCCTTTTTAGAGACAAAAATTATAGGAAGTTAAAATTTGTTTTGTATAAATAATAAATACCAAAATGTACCCAACATATCAAGTTACTTATGCTGTAAATATTAAAACAAATAAATATTTGATTTAGGTACCTATATATATATTATACATATTATATATATCATACAAATCGTTAAAGTAGACTAATATAATAATATATATTTAATGATATTATTTTTGTTCTAGTTGTATCGGGAGTTAACATATTTTATTATTCAATACATTTTTAAGATGTATATTGTGTAAAATAGTTAATTTTACTTTTTATAGCTTAAAATAATATGTTATCGTCAAAATTCATTCGAGTGCAGCACAGTGCTGGTTAGTTTTATTCTATTGCAGTTACGTGTCTGTTGTATCTATCAATGTTTAAGTGGAATAGATAAATAATTGAATAACGATGGAAATTTTCAAATTGTCACAAAAAATGTGGATAATACGAAAATCTATTCGGTTATTACCTTTGACCTCTATGATTTGCTTTTTAATTTTGGTTGGTTTTTCTTATATAAATTAGGTAACCTAACCATGTCCATTTGAATTTATTATGTTGCAATTTACATGATTTATGTTTAAGAAGATTGAAGAACCTTTTTCTTAAAATCAATTATTCAGAGAAAGTATAATTGTAATATAGTATGCTTGATGAATAAATATTATCATAATTTTGAGTGTTTTTGCCTTTTTGGATGATACCTGTATAATATATCGTTATGATTTGTGTTGTGTATTTGCGTGTATTTGTGTTCACCCCGGAATTTTGATGTCGCTTGAGATGAATATTGTAGGTATATAGATAGGCGAGACCTCACCGAATTCCAGCTTTCTAATCCAATTCGATGTGAAATAAAGAGGGGCCTAATTTGTATCTTTATTTTTATTCGTACTACCTACGTTTGACAAATGCGTTTTACGTGTTTCGTCACGGGAAACACGTCTTGTACGTTATTTTATAATATAATATCATAAGATAATTGTCAAAAGGATAGAGTGCACGCATTACAAAAAAAAAATATTAACGATAGCGTCTTACGATATACCTACTCATAATACATACTTAGTTTTCGGTATTGTGGGCGAGTTGTGTATGGATAATGTATATAGGTATCTATATATATATAGATTTATGTGTGCATTTAATATATATTAATAATATAGTGGATGTTTGACGGTGTAAAATGTATAACATGTAAAGTAACGACCCGATTTGCTCACAGTCGACTCTATGATATTAATAATTGTTAGTTATAATATTATGTTCTCGGGGACGCCATCGCCGCATGACGATAATACATGAATGTCGACCAAAGCTATACGGGACCGCGAGATCAGCGCGGTTCGTTAAGCCGCGGCCGGAGGCTGTACACTACGTACAGAGGTGTTCGCCGTAAGATACGTACGCAGTTGATTGTGTACGGAATATATTATAATACGATAATATTATCTAGTGCGCAGCAATTATATGTTTATATGTAGCGAACACGGTTTTTGCGGTGCGGTGTACCTACCTACCTACCTAACTATACCTACACAATACTCGTCGACTGACGAAGACGGTGGTGCTGCGAGTGTAATGTGTCGTGACGCGCACATGTCGCTGCATTTCGAAAGTTACACCAGCTAGTCGTTTGATCTGGGTTTTCTTAACGCTCGAAAAAACAAGTCGACGGCCGTTCAATTTTCTGCGCCATTTGTCGCGTCCGTCGGCCAAGCCTTGGGACCTATCATTAGGAGGTATTACACAGGAGGTGACATTTTCCGGAAACGCTCGTCGTCGCGCATAATATTATACCGCTTCAGCTAGGGCGAAACTGACCCAAGGCTGTTGCGTTTTGTGTTCTGTTCAGCGGCGACGTTGCAGTTTTTCGCCATCCCGCTGATTTGAATAATACGCCTCTCAATAATATTCAGTGGTCGTGTGTTATTATTATCGTTATACGTCGTTATATATTATAATATAATATATCTGTCGAGGATAAATTTTTATAATGATACAAAACGCGTTCGTGGCGGAGGTCGGCAAAATGTGTTGTCCGTGAATAACGTGAAAAGAAA